TTTCAAAACTATTTTCTTTGAATAACAGTAGCTAGACATTGCACATATCAGAATTCCCGAAAACATACCAGGATAAAAGTATCACTTTTCATAAGAGTAATTATAGCATATGACAAATTAATGCCAGGTCTCAATGTTAGACCCACGCCTATCCATGTATATATTTCCGCAGATGATAGATTTAAAAACACGAAAGAACCTTTCTTATAAGTATCAAACACGACCAAATTCAATACCTTATTCACTCTTATCGCGTACACTTAACTAATAAATAGTCAAAAACCATTCCATAGTAACTACAAATGACTCACTTAATTGATAAATATTTTCATAAGACGAAAACAAACATACAATTTCCAATTATTCTCTTCTTTTTCACACATTTATGCAAAACCGAAAAAGACATATACTGTTTTAGCTGATCATCTACTTCAGCACATGCACATTCTAAATCCACAAAAAAATATACGAACCGAAAAACTAATTCTTTTCCTTTCAAGTTCGTTTTCGATGGAGTGAATTTAACTGTTTTAATGATATTTTCCATCCATACATTGTCACCATATTCTATTCTTCGAGAAAAACTGGTCTTAGGATGCATACAAAAATATTTCTCCTTTTTTATCACTTTGAGTCCCTTTTGAAACTCATCAGATCTAACCCCTTCACATTCTCTTGTTAAATCTTTTTAATTTAACGCCCTTCAAAATGCAACTCGCGACTAGCTGCTGCAACCTCTGATCTTCTTCTCCCATAAGATAGTTCTTTTCACTTAAACCCTGTTAAATGACAGATTGCTCTTACTTAGAATATTAGATTTATAATACTATCGCTCCGCATGAGCAGCTCCGGACCAACAGTTTCCTGTTATTTATTCCTAATTTCTTTAACCCAATGGTTTAGCCAATACGGTAAAATTTTATTAGGGCTTCTGGTTTGGAGAATCTTAGTTGATTATTCTTGATAAATGCAGGTTTCACGTAGATCTTTTGCTAAACAACATTAGAATATGTTCGCAATTTTAGCGACCGCTAGTTCGCCAACACTTCTCTCAGGCCTTGCTCATAGTCACTTGTTGCATTCTTGGAATACATTAAAACAATCATTGGTTATTCAGCATTTATCCTACAGGCCGTAACTTCATTTACAGGATTCTTTTAATGCTACTTCTCTCGACTTAAGCAGGGTGCACTCAAAAAAGGCCACTTAACTCACAAACCACTATGAATAATCAGGAATCTCACAATGTCGCACACATTAGACTGAGTGCCAATGGTTTATAAACACTGTTTCATTACACTACAACTTACTGAAACTCTCAACCCATTAGATCACACTCTGATTCATGTCTACAACGATACTATGAAGAGGCTACAGAAACTAAACAGCAATTACAAACTCCAAATACGCAGAAGGATTGTCCATATTTCGGGTTTCCATTTTTTCAAATGCCTTTTGCTTTAAAAAAATTGACTTTTTCCTTAGGCAATAATTCAGATAAAAAAGTATGATTTGTTTCATACAAAAAACTACTTGAGTTTTTGAACAGCTGACTTGAGATTCGGGTTCTCCGACCTGGATTTGCTTTCGTCAACTTTTATACAATATCGTTATTTTCTCAAAAAACCCTTTTCTTGACCCTAAAAACCCGATTCAAAATTTTAAGAAACTGACTTCAGATTCGAATTCCCCGACCCTGATTTACTTTCGTCAACGTTTCGAGGAAAGAACTTTATCTGATTGGTCGAAAGCCCGATATCGAAAACATCTCATTGGCTGAAACTATGGGCTGAATAACGTGATTGGTCGAAAGCCTCACAGCGCAAACTTCTTTAAGCGGTTGTTTTTTTGACCCCGAGGTTCTTTTAACCCTGATGTTCTTTTGACCTGACGACAAGCAAGCAAACAAACTATTTTTTTCATATGACCCTCCCTTCAGTCGAGGGAATAAAGTCTTTCTTTCGAAAACATTCTACCATTAGTTAGAAGAAAAAATAAAGTCAAATAAATATGAAATCTATTTTAGAACAAGATCATTTTCTCTATTTGTCGATCTTGTCTAAAATTCAATAATTTGATAGAGAAGCAGTATGATACTCTAAAATTCTCAAGCTATATTTCGACACATTGTCAGATTAAGTAGACATGTATTATTGAGAAATATCAGCAGTTTGCTATGATTATTAAAATATCCGTACAATAGCAGGATTGTGTATTTTTTTCTCACTCGATGTATTATACTAAATCGATTCATTTGCTATTTTTGAATTAATTTTACCTACGAAGAATTAGATAGCATACATAACGTTTTCTAATGACTATATTACTATATATAAAATATTTGACAAAATTTTTAGTTGCATAGTTCGCAACAAGGTTTGATCTAATAGAGAAACACGAAACAACACTTACAATTAAAGTAAAATAATTGTCTAAAAATGAAAAAATATTTTCGAATAACAATCATTATTAAATCAAAATGTTTTCTTCTAGTGAGCTTACTACTTATTCCATCGCTACATTAAAGTTAAGGTTAACAGATACTTTTAATGAGACATAATTTATTTACCTATCAACAAGGATATACCGTTTCATCATAGATTTTATATGCAATGATTTTATTATTTGTCTCTATTAACATTGGAATTTTTTCAAAATAGAAATATTTCCTATCTATGACGATTTTTCCTTGCAATATCTATTTCAAAAAAAAAGTCAACTAAAAAAAAGAATACTAAAAAAATAGATAGAATATTACCGAAAGTGATAAGTTTTTTATCTTTTTTGGGCCATCCTGTACATCAAAGATTGATTGGACAAAATAAATAAAGTAAAATAAACTCCTAAATACAGCTTTTGAAAAGATTCATATGCAAACAGTCACAACTACAAAACAATAAAATATGAACAATTATATTGTGCGATTCTTTGGTTTATTTGAATAGTATTCTTCATATCTTTTTCAATTAGAAACTAAATCTAACGTTATTATGTATATAACAGCTAGACTATGCTTATTGTATGATGTGTATTTATATTTAATCAGAGACTTTAAACGATATTTTATTGTCGTTGACCACGATTTTGAGATTCTACGAAAGTGTATGTTTTAATCAATGTTAATAAAAAAAGATGAATGTGATAGATCTGATTATTTAGATATTTTTGATGAAGACCATTTCTATGATAAAGTTCACTGTTTTTCCTTTATACAAAAAAAAAATTTTCATTGACAATAAATGAAAGTTTGTTCAAATGAAAGAACTTTGAAACTCAATTATATTTCTTTTTTTGTTTGATCAATCGAAAATTCAATCTTAACGATTATGACATAAAGATTAGTTTATTTTCGATAATTTTTCAATAAAATTTAATTTTTATTCCGATGGCTTTGAGAATTTATTTGAATGTCATCGACATATTAAGTATATATGCTAACTGAAGCCAATAATATAAGAACTGAGGAACAAAGAACCTTTATCCCTTCATTTCACTTAGTTTCTATATTTATTGGCTTTATTTAGCATATTACCAATGAAAATAAAACTTTTAAATGATAAAAAAATTCTCTTCTTACAATTTTTTGCCCTTAAAACTCTCTCCACCGTATAATCTCTTGTAAAAGTATCTTTCATTCGGTTATTTTTACTTTACTTTTAAAGATAAATCACCTATTTATCCTTATTCTTTATAATAAAAGGGACACTAAAGAAAAAATGTTATTTCTACATGGGAATGAATTACAAAAAAAATTATTTATTTTTCAGTATAACTAGAAAAAAAAGGAAGGAATTTGTTTTTGTAAAATTCTAATCAAATTCATTCGACACAAAAAAAAACGAAACTACGAATTTTCTCTTAATAAATGACATTCAATAGTCATAGATTTCATGAATAAGTTTGTTAAGGTTACTTAAAGAATGAAGCTTGTCAACGCTTAAAGTATAAGATAAATCTGTATTGTCATCGTGTATATTAGAGATAAAAAAATACAAACAAGTGATGTGATTTCGTTGAGTCTTTTCGTTTTAACACATGTGACAATATGACAATGGAGGAAGTATTGTTTGTTCCTTTTTCTTTACAGCTAACTATACTCTACGACGTATGATTGACATTATATATTTTTTTCTCATTTCTACCAATCTTATTTTCCTTCTGTAGTTTATATTGATGAATAAAAGTGCAAAAAGGTAAATATTAGCATACACAGTAAGTAATCGACGATTTTATCTACATAAGTGAGTGTAATGAATGTGAAGAAAGGTATCATTATTGCAGATAATAGATCACTATAATAAACATGTTTGACAGAATTTCTTTGTTGATCCGTGTAAGCTTTCTTATACTCAACTATTGAAATGAGTTCTTCTGAAATACAGTCTAGAATAGTTGTTGAAAACTTATGAGACGATCAAATGTATTTGTCTTTCAATAAAATATTTTCATAGCACAAACAAGAATAAGAACAAAAAAAATTCCTACGAGCCATCTTTACTATACATTTTTGATTATTCTTTAGATTTGTTCAATTTTATATAAAAAAAAAGACTGAAAGAAATACTCATACAATAAAGTAACAAATTTATTATTATGTATTATAGTCTTAAACAATGTATTTATTTATTTCAGCTAAATATAAGATGGTTGCTACTGAGCAAACTTGTTTAGATTTGACTACTCTGACTGCTACTGACTTGTCATCAGCTGTTCTAAAGAACGACTCCTTGAACACAGTTTCATGCCCTTCAACAACAACGATTATTATGGATTCAGATGATGCTGACAACAAAGAAATACATTCTCAAACTGTTAACAGATATAAGAGAGTCGAAAGTGTATCATTATCTGCGCTCAGTCGACGACTAACTAAGCGCAAAAACCTTCATAAACGACTGTATGACATATATGTATGTTTGTAGTTTTATTACTTTCTTCTTTATTTTAGTTCTCTCGTGACTGATATCATGTGTATACTTGGTATGTTGGGAATCATTCTAATGATTATTGAAAATGAATTAACATTTTCACACATCAATAATCATGAAACCATAGCAAGTTGGTCTATCAAAATAGTTATTAGTTTATCAACACTTATTCTTATTGGATTTGTCATCGAATATCATCGTCTAGATATTTGTCTTTATGCTATTAATAATTCAATTGAAGATTTTCGTGTTGCAATAACATACGAGAGAATATTCTTCGTTCTAGTTGAAATAATAATTTGTGCAGTACATCCAATGCCTCGTGCGTTTCCTGGTCATTCAAATACATTATCGGTAGATACAAGTTCAGATGATTCCACAATTACTTCTCATCCTTTGTCTTATGCATCTGTTGATGTAGCACTTGGTTTACCAAGTAAGTGTTAAAGGTTTGTTTTTCTTAATCAAATTGAAAACTAAATATCTCAATAGTGTTTCTTCGTCTTTATTTGCTTTGGCGTTTTATTATGTTTCATTCTCATCTATTTCGTGATACATCATCACGATCTGTAGGTTATCTTAATAGAGTATCCATTGATTACTTCTTTCTCATCAAAACTTATCTTGAACAATGGCCAATAGTTTGTTTAACGGTATTTTGTATAATTGTCTTTCTTGTTGGAAGTTGGTCTTTACGTGCATGTTCTTACTCATCAACTAATGAACATTTAACAATGCAAAATACAATGTGGTTATTTGTTATAACATTTACTACTGTTGGCTATGGAGATTTTACACCTTCTACATACTGTGGACGAAGTAAGTAAAAGAATAATTTATAAAATAAATATCTCTTCCATTGTTGTATAATGAATAAAACTTTGATTTATTTTTGTTATGATTATTAGCTATTGCTGCTATGATTGCTTTGGTTGGTGTGTTATCAACTGCTCTTCTTATCAGTGTT